TGCCGGTTGACCCAAGCAGCGCGTCTTTTCCTAGCCATGCAGCAGATACAAGCCACTTCCGATGGATATCTAGCGTGGAGCAGCGATAATGTGTCTAAATCTCTTCGGAATACGCGTCAAAGCCTCCAGAACTAGCTCTGAAACGGAGATTGAGCCGGTGGTGCGCTTTTGCGGACTTACGTGATAGGTCGGCAAGGGAGGGGGAAAAAGATCAAATGCTTCTCACTTTCCATATGCCAGTTCCGATATACTCGACCTGCATAAAAAATAGTCTATTTTCGTGACAGCGAGAAGATGCTTTATATGGGATACCTCAGCAAATATGGAAGATGCCTTCCCAATCCACTCTTTCCTACGGTTCTGACCTATCGTCATTCTCGCGCGACTGCATCCCCCTACACCGTCCTTATTATAACACGTCGGCTGTACAAATATACCTGCTACCTGCTACTTTTCCAATCCCACCGCTCTCGATCGTGGCAACAATAAATGGTCGAAATCATCGAGCAACTCCACGAAGGCGAATAGGTGTCTGTCACAGGATCATTGACGGGAATACACGGAGTCATCAGCGAAATATTCGAGCAATTTTATCTCATAGAGATGGTCTTCGAGGCTCTTATTGTACGCGCATCATGCCGTTGGCGCAGCGAACCTTACTCGGTAACCGCCACTGCCGGGGTGACATGTCTTCTCTTCTATCTTTTTCGAGGATCGTCTTAATGCTTGAGTATCGCCTCTTACCTCCCTTAGTCCAATGTTTCTTCGTTGGGCTTGCGTGCGTACTGCAAGTCGTACTCCTCAGGGACTAGTAGGTCCTTGTCTGTCTCCGAAGTTCCCAACACCAGCTTTTTCTCACTACAGAACGACAAATCGAAATTGATCATCCCTCCCCAGCTGTTACATCTCTGCTTTAGTCAAGTTCCGGGTTGGAAGATTTGGCAAATAAGCTGCACACCTTATCACACTTTGAGTGTTTATGTGTTCTAGAGGTATTGATAAAAGACAGAAGCAGTCAGGGGATGATCAGATCTCTGACTGAAAGATCCTTCATCAAAGTAACCTGTCGATGATGATCGTTTCTGTACAACGCTACAGGATAAGTCAAGGTCCATATACTTCGTCGTTTGAATGGAGGGGAAGTTCAGACCGAACAGACGAAGGCTGAGCTTTCGCAGCGACTCCTAGCTGTTTATCTCTCCATCTGGTGGATGCAGTTGAACGAGCATGAGACTAGATTTGATTTCTTCAATTTAGGAGAGACAGCCTATCTCAAGGTGTCGATATCCAGTGTTTGATTTATAAAGCTCATCGTCGATCAGCCGTCCGATAAAATGTGTTGTGTTCTTATTTCAATTGCGATCCGCATCCTGTGCTGGTATATTCGTAACTATTCGGTGGCACAGTTATGGATGGCTGCATCGCTTTCTTATGACACGTTTCGGACTCAGACATAGTCTTTAGCAGGAAGAGACACGCATTTGGTGAAATATATAATATGTGTCTTAAATATACTCTCTGAGCACGGGGTAATCAAGGATGGATTCAACTTGACGTTTGATATTGCTGTCTACCAAGAGCAGCTTTCCTATGTCGCGCAAACCGAGATGTCGAAGCATTTGTGCGCCAATTCTAGTGAAAGTTGATTGCCAGGCAAAGATATTAAGGCCATGGTTGACCCCTTCATTATTCTTGATTTATCTGGGAGTGAGAATGATGCTTGCCTGACCATTATATCCGGTTGTTGACTATCGGGGAGATTATCCCATGGTTCGGCTTCGAAAGAGTTAATAGATGTATGTAACTCATATGACTCGAGGAACATGTTACCTGTGACTCGAAATAACCAGGAGAACAGTCAAGCTATCAAAGCTGACGAGGATGTCTAGTTCTCCACAGCACTCCAAAAGTTCGCCTGAGTCGATAAACGCGGAAGCTTCAAAAAGTCCCATGGCGGTTGTTACTACATCTCCTCCGCATGATAGAATAATCCTACACAACATCCATTTCGCAGGATGCGCCCCTGGCAGAGAAATATTCGTCAAGAAGAAAAAAAGTTTCCGGTGGCTCACTTGAATACTGTCTGTGCTCGTCGTCTAGGGACAATCTTCGATGGTCTTCCTTAACCTGTCTTACGAGCAGGTATCTATTGCTATTGAAATCCCTTTGGATCACAGAAATAAGATATAGGATGTTATGATATTTTATCTTATCCCACAGACAATTCTCGGCTCATTATTGGGTGTGATCGTGCATGACAAGCAGCGGTCAGATATACTGACGACGATGATTTACTGCGCATTATCAATGAATGGCGGTAATGCCTATCTTCACTTTCTCTGCCTCATTCATCTGCCATGACCGTTCTGACATCCCTGCAACTGCGTTCCTGATTCGGCGGTACTGCCACATCAGTAGGTCGGGATAATGGTATGAGGGTTTATGACTTTCCCTTTCAGAGAGCTGTATGAAAACCGCAGCCTAGTCTTGACGATGAGCAGTCGGACAATAACATTGCCTCAGCACATGCGAATTATTTAAATCAGACCCATGTGGAACGTGGTATTAATGCAAAGGGTTATAGAACAGTTCAACTGCTTGAAGCAACATCATGTTGCTGCCTGGGCTAACTTACTACTCACCTCCTCTCTCGAATTGACCAGATTATATACCATCTTCATCCACATTTTCGTCTTCGTCTTCAGGCATATACTGTCTTTTTCCGTGTCGTGTGCACGACACATTCAGCAGAAGCCAAAGACGGGTTTAATCACTGATCTATCAGAGGGATACTGCTCGTACCTGGCAGGAACATGTCCAGAATGGAATAGTATCAACACACCGCTATTCACACCATTACATCGATTCTCCACGGTAACGTTACTCCGGCATCAGTGCAGGGCAAAGATTGGTCTATGCAGATTATAGTAACCCTGGTTCTGGGGATAGCACTCGTTTTCTAGCTAACACGTTAACTGAATATGGCTTTACAACCGAGTTACATCGAAGATGCCAGGTGGCGTCCCTAATTGAAGGGACAATGTTATCTTCCCTACGGTTGTCTATCCATGGTCCATGACCTTGTGATTTACCGTGAGCTTATATCGCTTTAATCAGCAGCTATAGATCCCCTCGTCAAGGGACCAGTGGGCGAGAACCTCTTTTTGAACCTGATGGTGTGTCAAAGCCTCCCGTATACATGCGGTATGTCATGTCTGACTACTAGTCAATAGAGCTGTCAGTCTGAAGCCTTGAAATTCTGCGCCAATTATATGATGGGCCCGGGTAAAACACTGAATGAGAGAAATTCAGCCATGGTTGTTCTTGGAAATGACAACACAGGTTGCCAAAAGCCTCATTACATGCATAACTCTTTGGATGACCGAAGTATATGCGGAAAAGTGGCGGGCGCACGCCTATTCCGATTACAGCTGGGATGGCTGGAACTTCTTTAGGGTTTTCCCTAGGTATTGGCGAACAGATACCTCGTTTAATGACTAACATACCTACGCGACAAGTAGTTTATATATCGGAAACCTATAGGTTAATGACCAAGCGTGACCTGTGAGGATAGTGTATAGCTAACAGAGCAGTAGAACGAATTGCCAAATACATGAGGGACGCAACAGCCCATAAGGAGCAACAGCTACAATATACCTCTGTTCTTATCTGTTCTGCTATGGCGATGTTGCAGTCAAAGAATCGAGGTATATTACATTACGTGCTCTACGATTGCCACTCAAGCATAGCGTTCAATGGCTCCATCAGCTGCTAATTACCGACAAAGCAAGCGATCACTATCATGGATGACTTCCTCCATTGATAAGTCCCTCAATATATACCAGGATTGCGCACCCGATTTATGGGGCTTGTTGGTCCTTGGGTTTGCCATCCACAGAGATGAGACTCAGCACCATGGCTGAGAGGTATGGCTCTGCTTTTCGTCCACAGCAGATAAAGGCTGGTCATTACACGGAAATTCCTCTCATGGATTCCCCAAGACAACAGCGACTGGATCATATGGGTAATGGGTTCGGAAAGAGTCCTACCAGGCATCGTTGGGGGAAATGCGCGACCAATTGAAGCCGCGCATTATATTCGAAGCAATCCAGCCCACTCTCTAAACTGAAAGATGTCTCCCTTTATTCCAGGTCCCCACATAGTTCACTTTACCATTGAAGGGAGGACTGACTCTCTTTGGATTGACTTCGTTCGTGGTCCGAGGTACATGATTATCCAAAGGATGAGTATGCATACTCTATGCTAAGTGGGGAGTTACAAAACTCAGGTACTCATATCATGGAAAAGAGGGCGCGAACGCCGACGTCGAATTGATCCTTCTGGGCAATCTGCCTTGGTCGCTGAAAGGTGGATTCAGGATTAAGGCTTTCAAGATATCGAATGTACATGCCGACTAGGGCATGGCGTCGTCAGCGTTATAGTTCCTGAAGGATAAGAGGTCGAGATAATGGGGCTGCTGATTTGGCAGCGACTTGGGATGCTATATTGCAAGGCCCGATTTTGGAGGTCCATTAAGCATTAGCAAGGTGCGAGAGAAGGAAAAACCGCATGAACGGTGTATGAACCTGGGCCCAACTGAAAGTGGTTATAAGTTGGCTTGTGGAATATTCCGGCATTTGAGGAATGAGACAAGAGGAAGAATACAGACAGGAAGGTGGAGGAAGATGCCGGAGATGTCGGTAGTTCTTGATGATACCGGCTTTAGGTTGGTTCTATGGGTGGTGGCGTTTGACGCCGTTTATCAAGATCTCCGAGCAGTATTTCTCCGGATCAAGGGTCGAGTATATATTACTCAGAGAAGAAAAGATCTACTGGAATCTTCCTCCAATGGCTTGGAGCGTCAAACACCTAAACATAATAAGAGCACCTATCTCTGATAACCATTGTCACAGACATAACTAGATTAGCAACTATCTACAATCATAAAATACATATCATATGCCTCATGCTAGTTACATATCACATCGTAAAACATCCTCCTCCGATTCACTTCCTAAGCAAGGTAGCAGTCGTATTGGCATGGAAGTCACGACTACTGAAACCAGCCTTGAAAGTAAACTCGCCAGTCGGGATGCGCCAATCCTGCGCCGTCACATCCCAGTAACTCACATCTCTGCGCATCAGCTCGAAAGTCACCTTCTTGGTCTCGCCCGCCTCAAGCCAGACCTTCTCAAATCCACGCAGCTGGCTAGGCGGGGTACCCGCGGGCGCAGTATCAGGGAATCCGACGTACAGCTGTGGAATAGCGTAACCATCCATGCTGCCAGTGTTGCTCACCTGCGCGGTGAGGGCGTACACAGTATCCCAGAGAGCGGGGTTACCACCAGGCTGGACAGAACGCTGCTCCGGAAGGGCAGTCAAGTTCGAGGCCACCGGCTTAGCAGCGATCAGCTTGGTCAAGTTGTAGGTAGTGTAACTGAGACCGAAGCCGAACTCGTAACGGACGGGGATGTTGTGGGCATCGAAGTAGCGGTATCCGACTTCGAGCTCCTCGTCGAACCAGCTCTGCCAGTCGTAGGTACCGTTGGTAGCGACAGCGGTGGTGAGCGGAGCGTTGTAGTCCGATTCGTTGTAGGCGATCACATAGGGCAGCTTGGCGGAGGGGTTGGCGTCGCCGAAGAGGAGGTCGGCGATGGCGTTACCAGCTTCCTCACCGGGGTAGTGGGCGGCCAGGATGGCGGTGACGTTGGGGTGGTCGGCGAAGGGGAGGACATTGACACCAGCGGAGTGAGTGACCACGACGGTGTTGTTGCAGTACTTGGCGACGGCTTCGACGACGGCATTGCCGTTCCAGTCGAGGGTCAGGTAGGTGCGGTCGACATTTTCCTCGGACCAGGACTTGAGGAAGACAAGGCACACGTCGGGCTGCTCGGGGTTCCAGAGCTCGGGCATGGACTTCTCCGTAATGAGAGTGTTATTGAGCCAGGTCTGCACCCGGCCGCCGTACTGGCGCGCACGCGTTGTGATGGCGTCCTGGGGAGTGGAGAGGTAGCTGAAGCGGCAGGTGCCGGAGCCACCGGCGTTTGCGAGCACGCCGTATTCGAAGTCGGTCTGGGTGGAGGGGCCCTGGGTGTCGGAGCCGGCGTCGTTGCCGACGATGACGATGTTACGGGGCTTGCGCAGGGGGAGCGCGTTGCGCTCGTTCTTCAGCAGGACGGTGGATGCAGCGCCGTGTTCGCGGATCATGGCGCTGTTGTTGCCGCGAACGTCGCGGTTGGTGGGACCTGTGAACTTCCAGTCGTAGAGCCAGGTGTCGGGGGGTGAGTCGACGTTCAAGGGACCAACAGAGGCGTCGACGCTGGGGTAGTTCTTGTCTTGACCGAGCCAGAAGTAGGGCGTCATGATGCGCACGATCATGTCGTCGATCCGGTCGGTGGTGATGGTGCCGTTGTTGATGGCCTCGGTGAGGTTCTTGCCGAAGTAGGATCCCTCGGTCCACAGCTCGCCGTAGACGGTGAAGCCACCGGGCATGGTCATGTCCATGCCGCTCTCAGCGGAGGCGACACCACTGTGGGTGGCACCCCAGTCGGACATGACATAGCCTTGAAAGCCCAGCTCGGTCTTGAGGAGGTGGTTGAGGAGGTACGAGTTCTGGCACGAGTGGGAGCCGTTGACACGGTTGTAGGAGCACATGAAGCTGGCGACGCGAGCGCGGGCGGCGTTGGCGAAGGGCCACATGTAAATTTCGTGAAGGGTGCGGTCATCAAGGTTGGAGGAGACGGAGTCCTGGATGTAGGTTGTGGCATTGGCGTCCGGGGCGTAGGTAGGGTTACGCTGCGTCTCTTGTTCGTTGGCAATGAAGTGCTTTGCGTTGGCTTGCACACCGGCGTCTTGAATACCGAGAATGGTCTCCTCCATGCAGACACCGGTCAGGTAGGGATCAGCCGCGAAGCCTTCCCAGGTACGTCCGTCATAAGGACTACGACCGAGGGGACCGCCGATGGGACCGAGGACGACGTGGGTGCCCTTGCCCTTGTGCTCTGTAGCCATGGCATATCCACGGTCGTATAGCAGCTTACGATCCCAACTGGCAGCGGCGGACACACCGCTGACGAAAACGCTGGAGTAGTCACCCTGCTGAATACACTGGGGACCATTCTGCAGACAGAGACCAGTGAAGTTGAGGCGAGGGATGGGGAGAATGTTTCCCACGCAGGGACCCGGCTGACCGGTGGCCATCCAGGCTTTCTCCTCGACTGTGAGCTGCGATACCCAGTTCTTGGCCTGAACCAGGGCCTTTTCCCAGCCACCCTTGCCCTTAGTTTCGGCTATGACGAGGTCAGCGATACGCTCATGGCTCCTCATGAGGACATGGTGGACTTACGAGAAGGGAATACCGGTGGTGAGCTGCCATAGGGAGTAAGGATAGAGGTATTGAGAGGCTGGACGTAGCTGTTTGGCTCGCCTACATGGTTGATAGGTTCCTGGCAAGTGCTGGCACCCACGGATGGAGCCAGCAGCAGGCCAGACAAAAGCAGGGCGTGGTCGGCCGGGACCTTCATGGCGTTGTATGAGCCGGACTTGTGAAGTTGCTGGCTGTGAGCACCTATCCTTCATCCTCTACCCCCGACAATTGCACCCTTATATACCTACATACATATACACCTTGGCTGGTCGCGGTGCATTCCCGGGTTTTGCTGGAGTGGAGAACGCGGAGGCCCGCAAATACCGGGTTGGATGAGGGCTAAAAAGCCGGGGGCGGCCTCGTGCCGAGCTGGGACTCCACAACCGAGAAGCGATGCCAATCGCGAGGGTTTTGACGGCCCGTTTCTGCCCAGTCGGGGGATGATGACTTCGTTTGCTTTACTCCATCGGTCACCTTTGGCGTCAGCCGAAGTTTTGCCGGTGGAGGGAAAGAAAATTAACGCTCAGGCAGTTAATGGTGCCACTCGTGGTGATGAGGATCCTCTTCATTCTCTTCCCCGTGGGATCTAGTAGCCCCAGTTGTCGGAGGAACCCCGTGGGTAATGACGTAGGGTGAATGCATTCTGTCGGCCGGAAATGAGCATGACCGGCGAGTCGGGTAGCCTGGCATGACTCTCCAATACAGTGATGTCTCTCGATCTCACCGGCTTGTCTTTGGATGCCAATGCGGTCCGACCCCGCTAGGGCTTGGCAGGCACCCCCACGATGAGCCCGGCAAATACCCGTCTGCTGTTCCGAAGAATCCGAAAGGGATGACGGTAGGAAGATCCCCGTGAAAATGGACGAACCTACGTGAGGAATGCAAAAAAGAGGAGTCGGAATGCAGTCCGGAGTTGGGCTTGATGCCCGATCAGGAAGGCAGAATGGCAAAGGCCCGAGGTTTCCCCGGTGACTGTTCGGCCTGCCTTCACAGAATACTAAACAGGAACAGCCCTGTGGTCAGACATGCTGGGAGTCGGGAATCCTGGGAGAACATACCAAGTAGGTATGCCGAATGCTTGTGCTTGGACTTTCAACTATGAGGCCGACGGAGGGGAAGAGGCTTGGCGATTGGGTCTCCGGCATCTTAATATGGGCTTGATAATCATTAACCTACAAGATTCTCTAGTCAAGATGGCCATCCTATTGGCTTCCTCACGCATCCACCTCCTACCTTTCACTTCCCAACAAAGACGTGATCAATGGAGTCGAATGGAGGATTCTGTGGGGGCGGCGCTAACAAATGGATGGGAAGTTGGGAACAAACAATAGCCGGACAGGCAAAGATCCGCTGTTCCCTGGCCTCGTCCGACTAGACCGACTGAGCAACCGGTTGTACGAGAATCCAATTCCGGCGCATGCATGAGAAACATTTCTTCGTTCGGATCACCAGCGAGAGCCGGGCCGGATACAATCACAATGCGCCCGCCTTGGCTGAGGGCAAAGTCAGTGGAACCATCTGTAAGCTGTCTTGGGTCGGGAGCCAGAACCACATCTTGGATCATCTATCTTCCATCTTCGATGCTTTCTACTGGCGTGCTGTATTTGCTTTTCAGCTAAGTTTACATAGCATATTGACCCATGGTCAGTAGCGCAGTGATGCGTCGATATCTGGATTTAAGGTTGCCATTATTAAACGCGCCTGCCGCAAACAGCAGCGATCTATTCACAACACGCATGGTTTGCCAACTGCCTACAATCATGCTTTGTTTTTCTTTATGATGTGCCCTAATTCTTCGGGTCGGAAATTGGAGCTTCCGACCGTAGGATGGCGATGAAAAGCGATTCAGGCGATGGGCTCTTTCGAATATGGGTATGAACGGACCACTGCAGGAAGCCGATACAATAATGGATCTTCCGGCTACCCTATACCACAGCTTTCTATCTCACCGTAGCTTATGCAGCGTCAGCTTTTCATCCCGAGCAGTCTGTCTTGTGATCCTTTTGCTAGAGTAAGGTACCTGTAGCGAGGCTCATGCAGGAGGCATCATCCATGAAAATAACTTCCTCACTTCATTCACTAAAGGGGTGGATACATTCCAAGAACAGAGTATCTCTAGATGGGTTCCCACACTGTTGAATGCGTCGAAAGTCAATGGAGATAAGAGAGACACTGCCTGTCATTTCCGCGATCTTCCAGTCAATTGGCATTGTCACAACTTACCGGGCGACGTCCACCCATGGGTCGTCAAACTCTACCTCCGCCATCCTGGTCATAACCACACCCAGCAGGGTTCATGAGGTATCAATGACCTCACGTCTGCACGCAAAGAGCTAGTCAATGCCCAACCGAAGCGACTATCAAGGAAGCCAGGTAATACCGGACCAAGTCTAGGACGTGTACTCGACGTCGAAGGCCCAAGAGCATTAAAATATTAAAGCAAACAGTTATCCAGACAGTCGGGAAACCCAAATTTTAACACATTTTCTTGATGAACTATTAGTATCCCAATTAGTATCCCTTGCGCCGAAATGACTAAAGGCCTGGTGAGTAGGATGGTCTTTGCTGTGGCACGGATTCATGCTAACAAGAATGGGGCGCTGCGAGACCTTCGATATCCGCTACGACAACGAGCTCGCTCACGAATACTACGGGGATGGAGACAAGCTTACTAAACAGTAAGTTGAAGTGTTTGGCGATCCGAGTTGCCTGCGTTAGTGAGAGCTAACCGTGGTCTTATAGGCTCCAGAATGTCTATAAGGACAAAAACCTGGAGTTCCCCCAGTATTTCGATTCCACACTGACCACCCCACCAATCCACTTCATGACGTTCGTCACATTACCTTTTCTTTGCTGGAGTGTAGCTGATGGTAGCAGGGTCGAGGCGCCTGACGATGTAGATGTGGACGGACTGAGGAGTGTGCATGTCCCTCCAGGCTTGAGTGTCGAGATTCTAGACTTCGATTAAATTTTCTAGTAAATAGTTGGGAGGACAAATAAAATGGAAGCACGACAGTGTATGTAGCAGTCAAAGAATCAAATCTGTACAGATACAGTGGAGTCTTTTAATGTCAGTTTCACGCGAGCTTTTCAGCTTAGCGCCGGTGATCGGGCCGATCGTATGGCAATGATTTCCCCCGCCATTTCTGACAGACTCTTCATGTCCCTCACTATCTATTTGCATCAACCCACCCCAGGAGAACTTTTCCTCATTCCCGGACATGCCTACCGCATCGTTGCCGGCATCGGGGCGCTCGCCCTCGATATCCAAGCGACGTAAAACCCGCAAGGGCACCTTCTCGTGCTGGGAATGCAAGCATCGGAAGCGACGCTGCGAGTTCGAGCCCCTTAAGGGCTCCACTTGTCTTTATTGCCAGTCGCGAGGCATTCCCTGCATCAGCCAGGAACATGCCGATCCACGAAGCCGCAGTAGTCACGGCCAACTATCGGAGCGGATTTGCCACGTTGAATCCCTGGTCGACCAGTTGATTCGGCAGCGTGACAGCTGTCAGTCTCAGGCCCAGCCACCGGCTCAGGGTCGCGACCGAGCGAATTCTCCCCGGCCGAAAGAAGCCTTGATACCATCGCCCTTTCAGCAACTGTGCAAATCCCTCGCGGCTTTACTGCCTCATCCGAATACGGCCGCGCTTATTTTGACCAAGGGTCGATTCTTCAGTCTTCCTTTCCAGACTTGCCGGTCCCCAGTCCGAAATCAATCGGCTGTCTTCTCTGGTCTAGAACAGCCTGGAGATGTTTCCCGGCTACCATTGCCTATGTCCCATCCGATCCAATATGCTCAGAAACTCATAGAGCTCGCCCTCGGCTTACAGCAGCTGGATCTCACATCATTTCCACGCCCACAACTGCAGCTGCAGCTGCAGCTAAATCAATCCACTGGCCACTCCTCTCGACGTTATCTCGATCTAGCAGCTCGCCACGTAACGTCGCAATACACACTCGTAGATTCCCTTGATGGTCTCGATACTCTGTTACTGGAAGCCCGTTATTACATCAATACTGGGGAGCTGCGTTCGGCTTGGCTGATCTTTCGCCGTGCTCTGAGCATTGCACAACTGATCGGACTTCCTAGGAAAAGTGACGAAGCAGAGAGCCGCGCAGCATCGCTTTGGATTCAGCTCATATATAATGATAGATTTCTGTCGCTAATGCTTGGTCTTCCATGTGAGGTGAAAGACATTGAGCTCCTGGATGGGGAGACGTTGAATAAATACTCACCTCTTAGAAAGCTATATCGCATCCATGCTGTCATCGCAGGTCGGATAATCGTCCGGAATGTGCATATGCAACATTGCGATTGGCTATCTCAGAGTACTTACGATCATTATGCAGTGACACGCGGTATAGATGATGAACTAAGAAAGAATACCCGATCAGTGCCTATAGATTGCTGGAGAGTTCCCACACTAGGAAGTACGTTGTCGGATACCGACAAAATGGACAGAGTCTCTATGCTCATCACCCAAATGCACCAATATTACCTCGTGATCCTCCTTCACCAACCGTACTTACTCCTGCAGCTCAGGAATCATACAAAATTCAGCCAGTCAGCATTATCATGTTTTTTACCAGAGTATTCATACAGCAGACAAGCGGTCGTCCCTGCAAGCCGTGAAGTACTGAGTCGCTGTCTCGAATTTCGGAAGATACGACCCATCCTTTCCTATCGTGGGCTTGAGCATAAAGCTTTCATCTCCGCAGTGACACTGCTCTTATCTCATATCTTGGGACACCGATTGGGATCTGAGAACGTTTTGGAACATCAACGCCCTCATGACCTGGCCATGATACATCAAGCTATTGACACCTTAGCCGAAGTCTGCACATCGAATGGCCCAAATAGAGATTCTGCAATCAAGACAAGAAGTTGGTTAAGCAGACTCCTAGATATTGAGGCGAAGGCAGCCGATGGCATCAATTACATTGCGTGCATTGAACGGGACAATGTTGGCCCAGATGATGCTCTATGTCATACCTCCCACCAACGCCTGAGGTTTCCCATACCATACTTTGGAGTCATCTGCATAATCCCTGAGCCAGTCCCAGATTTGCAATTAGATGGCCTACTTTCGGGATCCACACAGGCAACAGGACCAGACACTGCGCAACTTGGGCCATGCCTTGACTCACAAGGACTTCCTTCGACCGTTACAGAATTGGAAATTGGTCGTGGCCTACATTCCCAACTTTCCTTGTTGTCCGATGTTCAATCAGATCTGCAGTCGCTGTTTGACTGGACAGGTGACCCGAACATCCTCTACGAAGACTAAGCCACATCGCTACGTTTAATAACCATCATGGACATGAAGTGGAAATCGAACAACTGTATATACATTGTCTCCTAGCGCAGCATGGCAAGGTATCCATTCAGTATCTTCCACCAATACAAAGCAAGAAAACCCCTTTCACAGTGGTGGGGTATCGGCAAAGTCAAAGCCAGTCAAGGCCTGAAAGCGCACACCCACAACACTTTGTGCGATCCGCCGGATTGATTGTTCTTCTTCCTCCGACAACTGGAAAGACAGACTGGCCAAGTTCTCCTCCAATCGATGAATTTTGCTCGTTCCCGGAATAGCAAAGATGTCGTCACCCTGGGTTAACAGCCACGCCAGCGCCAGCTGTGCCGTGGTCATACTCTTCCCTTTCGCGATCTCCGCCAGCTGGTCCACCACAGCAACATTTTTCTCGATATTCCCCTTCCTGAGCCAGGGAAGTACACCTCGGACATCTCCGGGCTTACTGACGTCCTCCCGCGACCGAATTGCCCCGCTAAGGAATCCGTTGCCGAGCGGACTATACGCCACGATAGCCACACCGAGCTCGCGCGCAGTAAGCAGTAACTGCACCTTCGGGGACTCGATATCAGTGCAGAAGACGCTATACTCTACCTGTACACACGAGATGGGGTGCACAGCATGGGCCCGACGGAGCGAGTCGGCACTGCATTCGCTCAAGCCAATGTATTTGATCTTTCCCTCTTGCTTGAGCGCGACCATGGCTTCGATGGTCTTCTCAATAGGGGTGACTTTGTCCAGGCGATGGACGTAGTACAAATCCACATATGGCAGTCCGAGGCGTTTCAATGACTTCTCAATCGCAGTCCGACAGTACTCTGGACTGGAATCCATCCAATTCTTCATGCCGTCTTTAGCTTTGGGATTGGTGCAGATGCCGAACTTGGTGGCCAGAAAAACATCCTTCCGCTTATCAGGGTTCTGAGCAAACCATTTGCCCAGAACGGTCTCGGAATCATCATATTTATCCGCTATGGCTGTCAGAGTCTGCGTGCTTTAGAATCCTTGAATGGGTACATACCGGTATCCCAAAACGTCTCACCCCTTTGGTATGCCTCGTCCAGGAACTTTAGATGCTCAGCTTCTGGGAGAGGTTGACCATAAGTACCACTCGCACCCATGAGTCCGAGGCCGATTCGCGGAATGAGCGGGCCGTTTTTGCCCAGAGAGCGAGCAGGGAGTTTGCTGAAACCGGACATTTTGCTGGAATGAATGTATACAGCGAAGTTATATCTACAAAAGATGACATGCTTAACAACATGTCAATCAGCTCTTTTATGCCTTTACAATGCCGGACTTTGCGGCGGAATTGACTGTCTCTCAGTGACATACTACGGCATTGGTGCCTGAGGCCTGGATCCTTAACGGTTCCGCCGCTTAATTCCGCCGCTAACTCCGCCGTCGCCGATCGCCATCGCCGATCGCCATCAACGCGATGCCTTGTTTGTTGCAGCTCACAGCTGGACAGTCGGCCAGAAGGCCAGTACTACCTTCGCGTAGACACAAGCTCTTTGAGGGTGTGAGCATATGTCATTATGAAAACTGGCATATGGTCTACTTTTAAGCGTTGTCTTTTCCGAGCAGCTCTCATCTTAGTCCTGACTTTCCCGAGACCCAGACATCTACAGAGTACGACCGATACGAGATGAGGAGAGCAGGACAGCCGTTGTATAACATGCTCCTGATCCAGGCGCCTCTCCTTAGGTTGTACCTAGGATACACTGCGCCTGAGACAACCGGGGGTTCCGGATACGGATGTGGTGAGGTCATCCCGGACACAGAGTTTCAGTGCAACCACCGTCCCTCATATAAGTCGATGGCCACGTCGCCCTCGTTTTTGGGCAGAAAGGGCGTCCCAATAATAGCAACATTTAATCCAGCTTCGTTCTTGATAGTGTCAATCCCTGAGACGCAGTCAGTATGGTCCACCTGTCGACCGTCCGTAAAGAGTCCCACGCCCATCAGCGTCAGCGCGAAGAACGCGATACGCAGGCAGCCGCGGTGTCACCTTACGTGTACGGGACGCGCTATGCAGTCGAAGAGCTGCCCGAGCATACCATGTCGGAGCATGAGATGCCAGCCCCGGTGGCATATCGCATGATCAAAGATGAGTTGAGTTTGGATGGGAATCCCCTGCTCAAGTATTACCTCGCTTCTCTTTCTGCTCTTTGAACCGTCGAAAGTAACATGTCCTAGTTTAGCCAGCTTTGTCACTACCTATATGGTAAGACGATTATTAAGAAGCAAGCACAATGCTCTCGCTAACTCTATCCCAGGAAGATGAGGTGCAACAGCTCATGTCTGACGCCATGAGCAAGAACTTCATCGACTACGAACAGTATCCACAGACTGCACATATCCAGAACCGCTGTGTCAATATGATCGCTGGTCTGTTCCATGCACCTAGCCTCAATGACCCAAGCAACGAGCAAGACGCAATCGGCACCTCGACGGTCGGATCCTCAGAAGCGATCATGCTGGCCATGCTGGCCATGAAGAAGCGCTGGCAGAACAAGCGGAAGGAAGCTGGGAAGGACTGGTCGCGCCCGAACATTATCATGAATAGTGCGGTACAAGTGTGCTGGGAGAAAGCCGCGCGGTATTTCGAGGTTGAGGAGAGATATGTCTATTGCACGGAGACCCGCTATGTCATTGACCCCAAGGAGGCGGTGGATCTGGTGGACGAAAACACGGTGGGAATCTGTGCCATTCTTGGGACAACGTACACAGGACAGTATGAGGATGTCAAGGCAATCAATGACCTGCTGATCGCGAAGAACATCGACTGCCCAATACATGTGGATGCGGCTAGCGGCGGGTTTGTGGTGCCCTTTGTGAAACCAGAGCTGGAGTGGGACTTTCGCCTGGAAAAAGTCATCTCCATAAATGTCTCAGGGCACAAATATGGACTGGTGAGATACATCACAAACCGTTACACCTCGCCGAATGCGGACTCAAACTGATCGTGACAGGTCTATCCTGGCGTTGGTTGGGTTTTCTGGCGCGCCCCCGCATACCTCCCCAAAGAGCTCATTTTCAATATCAATTATCTGGGCGCCGAGCAGGCCAGCTTCACGTTGAACTTCTCTAAAGGCGCCCCCCACGTCATCGGGCAATACTACCAACTGATCCGGCTAGGCAAGCATGGCTTCCGATCGATCATGACCAACCTCACGCAGACTGCCGACCATCTAGCAGCGGAGTTGGAGAAACTCGGCTTTATTATCATGAGTGACGGTGGAGGTCGGGGTCTTCCTCTGGTTGCATTCCGATTGCCCGAGCAAGAGGGCCGGCTGTACGACGAATTCGCCCTGGCCCATGTGCTGCGTCGCCGCGGATGGGTGATTCCGGCGTATACCATGGCGCCGAAATGTAATCAATTGAGGATGATGCGGATCGTGCTGCGTGAGGATTTCAGCATGCACCGGTGTAACCTGCTCGTGGAGGACATCCGACTGGGCTTGAAGACGCTAGAGGATATGGATGAGACCATGATCAAGCGGTACAGCACGTAAGTTATTTTTCCTTTTCTATCTCTGCCTCTGAAGGCGACCGGGCATAAACTGACACCCAGCAGATACATCCAGACACATGCTACACGCGGTCCACAAGGTCATCCGGTGTATGGAAACGAGCAGCATTCGCTTCAGGGGAAGTCGGGAAAAACACATGCGGTCTGTTGAACCGGTCATTTGTGCGCGGTGTAGTAGTTACTTTACCACTACTGTGTTTGTCAGTCTGCCTGTGATACGTCAGCTTCTCTCAAAACCTTCACCAGCCATCATCCTTGGTTTTCTCGGTATTAGTAGCTACTCTGTGAATCTGTCAGTGCCAAGTCATCCCCAACAGGCGTATCTCTTAGTCTGGGAGGCTGTCAGCGGTAAGCGAGCATGAATCAAGGAAAAGTAAGGTGCACTCGACTGGCAAAGGCCGCAGCAATCGCCAGCACGTCCAACGAGCTCGTGCCCGGGTGCGTCAATGCAGCTGTCTTTTCCGGCTGCAACGAACCCCTCCCTCCCTTACGTAGAGTCTATTTGGCTGCATGCTGCGAGCGAACATTTGCCAGTATTGATAGGCCGCGTAGTGGGCTCCACGCCCTCGCAGGACCGGACGCCTTCGGTGCATGAACCCACCAGTCGAACTCCACCGATGAAAGTAAACTCCGGTGAACGGCTGCAATGTAATAACAGCTTGTACAGTACAATAGTGCACAAAAACGGTGCACTTTGTTGGGTATGATCTAGAAGAGAAAAAAAAAACTTCACTTGTGGCCCTCGATGAGGTCAATCCTGACACACTTTGCATTCCCGGTGGCGCGGCGCCGAGCGATCTCCGGGTCATCAACAACGTTGGACCTTGCAACGTTCGAGACAGTTCCCCGATCTCGGTCACTCGCTGAAGATAATCGGGGACCACTGGCTAGAACCACGGCGAACCGAATCCGAAAGACTGACTGATAGACGACCTGTCATGTTCATAGAGAGGCAGAGTTCGCATTCACCGCGTCGCGCGCGACCCCTTTAGGGTTTTGAGTTCCGCGAAGTCGCCCAGACACACAGCAAGCAGCTGATGAATCACATCCGAGACAATCAATAGTCGGATTGACAATGCAGTAGTCAGAGTCTGACTATCAATAATCAACAGCCACTACGGTCCGTGGCCCTGTCAATCCGGGGTGTTTTTTTCCACTACCACCCCCTTCCTTCAGGTCTACTTACCAAGCAAGCAGCTACACGCTGGCCGACAGACAACAAGCTTCATCCTCGTCCAACTATCGTATGCCTCTCTTCCTTACACAAATTCAAAGCTCGCTTACTCGTATTCGATTTTTTCCTCTCTTACGAGAAAACATTGAACTCTGTTTTGCTGCGCATCTCATCTAAGCATTGAAGCCTAATCCTCCGAGCCTGTGACTTTGACCGCTACGAGATGAGCCTACGCAATGGAGTCCACTCGGAACGATAATCCCCTCTACTTCTTCTTTCCCTCCCCTCTGCTAGTCTGCTTCCTCTGTCTGCCTCTGCTTTGACAACTGTGTTCACGCACTGCATGCTGCGCCTTCACTAGGCTACTGCTTTTCTCAGTTACAGTTCACATAGCTCAGCTTTTATCTCCTGACTATCACAATGCATTGAAGTAAAAATTCCGGGGGAAACCCACATACGTACTGTACCAATTCTACCTTACTACTTATGTATCGCTCGTTCCCACTTCCTCGGTCTTGAATTAGGTCGCAGGTAGAGAAAAGTAGGAAAGGACTCCGTACACCCGTCCAAACCTGCCAGCCAGCCAGCCAGTATGGCCAACATCATCTGGCTCGCCCTCGTCCTCGTGGCGTTGAGCGTCCACGTCCAAGCCAAAGACGTCTTCGCGCATTTCATCGTCCGTTTCCCCCAGCACCCAATTCCTACCAAACTCCACTCACTAACTCTCCTCTCAGCTTGCCAACGCCGAAAACTTCACCCAAGCGCATTGGACACGCGACATCACCGCCGCCAAAGATGCTCAAATCGACGCCTTCGCCTTAAACACCGGCTATGGCGCCGCCAACACCGACCAGCTCCTAACAGACGCCCTCACCGTCGCAGCAAAACATGACTTCAAGCTTTTCCTGTCCCTCGACTACTCCGGCGACGGTCATTGGCCTCCCGACCAAGTCCTGAAAGTTTTGCAAAGCTACGCCAATCATACGGCTTACTACCGCGTCGACAACCAACATCCATTGGTCTCCACCTTCGAGGGTTACGAATCCCTGTCTGATTGGTCCACCATCAAGAAAAAGGTACCCAATATCTATTTCATGCCTGAATGGTCCGTCCGAACCCCCGAGCAACTAGCAAGCGAAGATGTCGTGGACGGGTTACTCTCCTGGAGCGCATGGCCATACGGGACGACGCAGATGAACACGTCCACAGACGAAGAGTACATCTCTGCCCTGAAACCCAAAGGCAAGCCGTACATTATGCCTGTCAGCCCGTGGTTCTACACCGACATGGTACGGTACCACAAGAACTGGGTATGGCAGGGCGATGGACTGTGGCATACGCGGTGGAAGCAGGTTCTCGACTTACAGCCGCAATATGTGGAAATCCTTACGTGGAACGACTTCGGCGAGTCGCATTACATCGGCCCGCTGCACGAGAACGAGCTAGGGATATTTTCGTTCGGGGAGGCGCCGTTTAACTACGCGACCGGGATGGTGCATGACGCGTGGCGGATGTTTCTTCCGTACATTGTGGGCGAATACAAGAATGGGAGTGGGAAGGGGGTGATTGAGAAGGAAGGGGTGGTGGTTTGGTATAGGGTTACGCCGGCGTGGGCATGCAAGGCCGGCTTAACTACGGGTAATTCGGTCACACAGGGCCAGCAGACCGTGCCGCCGGGGCAGGTCTTGAAGGATGAAGTGTTTTTCCAGGCGTTGTTGGAGGATACCGCGGAAGTGGAAGTGAGTATTGGTGGTGGGGAGAATAAGTCCGTGGACTGGTTGGATACGCCGAGTGGTGGTGGTGGGAGAGGATTGTATTTTGGGAGTGTGCCGATGGATAATCGCACGGGTGAGGTTGTGGTTACGTTGAGTAGGGATGGGAAGTTCGTGGCGCAGATGATTGGAGAGAAGATTACGACGCAGTGTCCGGATAAGTTGACGAACTGGAATGCGTGGGTTGGCACGGCGATGTCGAATGTGTCGAATGCTAGTACTTCGCGTGCATCGTTGTCGGAGAATGGTGCGGCTGGTGTCAGGGTTGGAGGAGGACGTGGGATGGCCATGTGGATGGGGGTGTTGTGGACGATCTTGATGGTGGGTATGAGTGGAGTTTTGCTTTAGATCTTTTTTCCGTTTTAGAGTCTCGATCGATCTTCATATCTCGATATACTGGTAGTAATATCTAATATCTTGGACTATTTCCTGATTTTGGTGGAGCATGTAATTCTGCACGGGGACTATCCGAGAGCCCTAGTTGAGGCTTGTAGGTGTGATCTGCGCAATATTAGGGCTGCCGGCGTAAACCGATCGAATGGGTCTGCGGCTCTGAGGTGGATGAGGAAGCCTTGATTCAGAGCAGAGAGCGATTACCGCAAGTGGAAGAATAGAGAGTTGAGCTTGACTCAATCTCATAGGCGTTTCGGCGTCGCCGAAGGACGTGCACGGGCTGGTGGGAACAAAGAGGCTTGGTTCTTGCTTCTTATGGGTGGAACCTGGGGGTTTTGCCATCGGGGGGGGGGGGGACATTAGATAATCTATACCCCCCCGTCCCTGCTGGGCCATGTGGGATGTGAAGGTGATCGTCGCTGGTCATGACTATACTATACTCAATAGAGTCTGGTGTTGATATCAGTTTGGAGATATGAGCCTCATGTTGGAGAAAATAGTGATCCTAGTTCTTAGACCATGCTGCAGATTACGGCGATCTGGGGTATTCACTTATCCACTTGATCGAGATTCTGGACAGAGGCCTGGGCCGTTGCTAGATCGACTGCATGTTTATTCATGTCCTATGGCATATCATCCGTCTATGACAAGCATATTCGCCCTGGATACGAGCATATTTGTCAAAACATATCAGGATAGGTCACTACCCTTAGAGATGTAGTATATACCATATGACAGTCGGAGCAGCAACATCTAGTCTCTACTTTGACCTGCCCTATTGGGGCAGAAGACACAGGGCAGCAGGTTATCCCAATAGTACAGGAGTATTAGCCGACCCCAGTCTCACGAGGCAGTGCCCAAACTCGGCCCATCAGCGGCCGGTATTTCAAGTCAATGACGCAAAGACCAAACTCTGCTCGCCACCGGCCGGCGAACACCGGTGCCCTAGCTTTTCCACGTCTGGGGTTCGGCCGGTGCCCAGCAAGACTCGGCGCTGGCTAGACGCACCTTATTGTATTGATTGCACTTTGACAGCTCTTGGGACCTTATCATGCTTTCTTCACGGCCGATGAGTGGGCCTTCGGACTCGGCCACCAGTGGCAATGGCCTAGACTCCACCAGCCCTGCGCAAAGTATGCAAGTGCGAGCTATCTTCAGAACTCAGGAATTGCTGGTCCAGGGGAGAAGTATAAAGATTGCCCTGATTCCTGCCCCTGATCTGGAAGTCAGATTACAACCAGAACAATCAAACTCGCACATCACATCAATATCCTTAATGCAATAACACGACGACTACGTATTGCCACCACTACCTCCCAGTGCGATTATCACCAGCACTCCTCTACATCAATTACCTCCTCGACACTTATTCTTCACAACGTCAAACACAATGGCCGGTATCGAACTTCCTCCTTACCTGATGCGTCAGGCCACCCGCACCAACAGCCGTATTCCTCCCATGGCTCGTCGCTCCGTCTCTCCCTTCCCCACTCGCATGGCCGCTCTCTCCCGCGACAAGCTTCACAAGGAAGCCTCTACAAAGAACCCCGATCTGCGCCGATGCCTTGCTCACCACACTCTCCTGAACCGGTCCATTGAAGCCGCCCAGCAAGACGTGCGTCGGCGCATGGCATCCTTCCACCTTGATGAAGAAGACGATGATGACTTCACCACCTCCTACCACTCTACACCCAATGAGGCTACGGCTGTGCCTCTCATCCGGGTCCAGATCACCAATGCTGTGCGGGCTATGGTCAAGCGTCGTGCTGCAGATAGCCAACAGAACAACCAGCTGAATGGGCTGACGCGGGTGTCGGCAAATGCAGACAAGGCGGGTGCTTCGAACAACAACAGCAGCAGCAGCAGCAGCAGCAGCAGCAGTAGTATGAGGAGTCTGAAGAGAGTCCCTCGTGTGGTCTTCGGTCGGCGTCGCTGGCCTTTGTATGGAGCGGGGCCACTGCAGACTGGATTGGTTAGCTGACACGGCAATGGTTGCAGCATTCATAGTGTGGCTTCGTGACGGGCTACGGCTGGACCTCGCCTTTGGCATCCCTGTTTTGTTCTCTTCATTCATCGACATATTCTTCTACTGTATTACTTTATTTTTTCCTCATCCCTTGGACAGACAGGATGCCTTGTGTCACGTGCAACAGATATGATGGGTCTTGTATATAATAATTGTCTATTACACTACACTATACTATACTATTTAGAAGACGTCATACATTATACATTCATCCATTCTATGACACTTCCATAGTAAACTCCAATTGATTTACAACCACAAGCGCAGTGTAGACTACCAATGACCCACGTCGCCCGATCTTAATCGCTGATTGCTGCACATCCATCACTAGTCGCCGATCAGTCTCACTCATCCGACCCGCTCCGCCCAATCAATCCCCTCACCCTATCCTAATCAGGCAATTCAGCTCTGCAGTTCAAATCTCAGCCGCATTCCAAACCCACAATCCCCCCAGCTTATAATAATGCCTCCCAGCCCCCACGATCGCGTTCTTTTAATCTTCCTATCCTCCCCCTTCCCGGAATAAAATCAGAAAATCGGTAAAAAAAAAAAATGCCACAATGGATCCCCCCGGCCCAATTCCTCGCTATCCAGCTCCTAACCGGCACCACTGTTGCCTTCACCCCGGCTAATTCTCCCCTCCGACCAATTGCCTCCCTCCTCGTACTCGTCCTCGCCTACTGCATGCAAATCAGCGCAAATGCCCACCTCCACGGCACCCGCTTCGGCGCTCCGCTCGTCGCAATGTGTTGGATGAACGTTCTCAACGGGATAGATTTACTGGTTCTCACGCGCGCGGACTACGATAAACAGCTAGCGTACAACAACACAAGGCTGAAGCAAACATCCGACAAATCACCAAATAAACCACAAAGCAAATCCCTCCTCAAAAAATACCTCTGGTCCCTAAACCTCTCCTTCAACTACCGCCGCATCAACACCCCCTGGCAAATCCGCGCTCTCACCACGTTTAACAAGATCCCAACTCGGACTCAATTCCTCCTCACCTCCCTACTCAAACTCACCATCTCTATCGCAATCATCCAGCTCCTCACCCTCGAGACCACCGATCCATATCTCGGCCGCGCAGTGGATAAATTACCCGTTCGACCGGACGAAATTCTCCTCCCGTTCTGGTATCATAGTGGCTGGGGCAAAGATGACCTCGTGCTTAGATTCCTCTTCACACTCTCGTTTGGAATCGTGGCTCGCGCGTTCATCGTCGCGGGATATACCTCTGCCGCGGTGGTGGCTGTAACATTGGGCCAGGAACCGAGTATGTGGCCGCCTGTCGGGGGTGGCTTGCTGGATGCGTGGTCGATTAGAAGGTTCTGGGGGTATGCGAACAGTTCCCTCCCTTTCATTCTTCAGACCATATACTAACGAAGTATGCAATGCTACAGAAAAACATGGCACCAAACCCTCCGCCAACTTCTCTGCTCGAACGCCGATTTCGTCTCGGGATCTATCCTGCGTCTTCCGGTCCGATTCCAGTGGTGCTTCCGGGTGATTTTCGCATTCATTGTTTCAGGTTTAGTGCATACGGGCATGGATGTAGGGTTTGGAGTGCGGATTGATGAAAGCGGGTCGGTGTGGTTCTTCGCGTTACAGATTCTGGGTGTGGCGGGGGAGATGCTTGCTGAGATGTTGCTGGCTCCTGTGAGTGTATTTGTGCCGAGAGGGTTTAGGCGTGGGGTTGGATTTATATGGGTAGCGGTTTTCATGATGTGGACTTTGCCGGTGTGGATTTATCCGATTTTGGTCCAGTTGTATGGAGATGGCGTGCGCATGATGAGTCCATTCTTGGGGTTTGGGGGATGGGATATTTGATTTGGTTTTGGATTGCATAGCGTTGGGGTTGGGTATTATTGTTATGTTAGATTATATTAGATTTATTAGATGTATAGTAGGGATAGTAGTGGTGAATATAAACTATAATGCTGCGTCCCAGTCTACCCATGTGAATGTATTCAACAGGTCGAGATGGGGGTCTGCGCCTATAAGGTCCGGTAGCGCGTCTAGGGCTCTCGTCGGACTTTGTAGCGATGCCGGCATGCTGAGGATTCGGTCCAGTGAGCGTTGCAATATCCCCTTGATTTGCGCCTTGGCTGCGATGTCGGATTCGGAGGGCCGGAGCCAGTCGAGAAAGGCGACCAGCACACTGAGGTTCTGGATGATGTCCGATCGGGGAAGATCTAAGGTGTATGTTTCGGGGGAGCTGGATTGCCGGAGAAGCTCGAGGCAGAGGATGCCGCTGCCTGGGACGGCGTAGGACATAGCCTGGCATGCTGGCTTAGTATGAAGTACATGTATTTATTGGGTAAATGGTGGAGTATCATACCAGCCAGGAGAAATCAACGTGGTTCTCGAACCGGTCCTTGTGCTTCCAATATATCAGGGTTAATCCTACCATTTCATGGCTAACCTGGATCAGAGCTTGTTCGTCGGCCACTCTGTGTCGGGTCAGAAGTCTCTCTAGGATGAACAGGTTGAGTAAAAAGTCCAGGCGCACAAGAACGCGCAAGGCGAGTAGCTGGCCGGGGATGTCGCGGTCGTGGATGTCTTCTGTCTTGAACTTGATGACCTTAGGAAACTGTGCATAGATGTCTGTAGCTTGTCCTTTGAGTTGACTGTTTGCTTGTCAGAAGTTGTGGGTGATTAGGGGTGTATCTTGGGCTGAGGGCATACAGGCATGTTTGTACTGCAGCGTCAGTGATGCTATCCTGAGAAGTCTCTAATACTTCTAGCATCTCTTCGCGGTTCCTTGCTAGCATTGCGCGCGCTCTTAGGATTGTGGTTGGATACGGTTGTCGATCCAGACTGCTGTCCCAGCCATCGGAGTTGAGCTTGGCTACGGCATTGCCAATCCTGTCGGAAAATATATCCTCGTCGTTAATATCCAGGGGCAACTGAGTTGTCGAGTATTTTCTGTTCAGAAGCGGTGGTCTTCCGGTGAAGGTAGAGATAACCTTGTCGAAATTGTAAATCGATGCGTAGACGCGTCGTTTGAGTTCGTGCTGGAAAGAGACCTCCTCCCAGTCGGACGACAATTCCCGGTGAAGACCAATTGATGTTGTGACTGCAATCACATCGCCATGTTGTCGCCAACATGAAAGACCTGATGATCAGCTGTGTGTTCTCTGTGCAGATATCCTAAGCAGGACTTACTCTTATCACCGCTGGCAATGCTCTCAAGGATGTTATGCTTGAATGCCAAATTTACAAAGAGAATGTTAATAGCACCCAGCTGGCTGCATAGCTCGATGCACATGGATGCACACCGTTTAAAATGCACCATGAGTTCTTTGGGCCCCTTGAATGCATGTTGTCGACAGTACTGAGTAATGACATCGTGTTGTACCGGCAACTGTGAAGCCGCAGACGACCAAATAGTGAACAATGACCCTAGCAGCTCCCAACGCGTTCTCTTTCCCGAGAAAGACTCGATCCAGCGGTGTGGATTCTGTTCAGCCGGCAATGGCGTGAGACTGCACTCTGAAAACCGCTTCGCAACATACTGTAGGTGCTCGCTGTTTCGCAGCCGGAGCACGTCTCGATACTCATCCCACATCTTATCAGAAGCGATCCGATAAGCTGGCCGGAAGCAGGCATCCATTAAGGCCATTGGATGGACGAAGAGCAAGTTGCAAGTTAGCTCATCCGGCAAGTTCTGTAGGATCTGGATCCCCAGTTGGAGCGTTCTCGGTGTGATGGTAGGGTTCCCCGGCTGAGTGGAACTTTGCACCTCGACGCGATTGATGTCTGCGCTGGCTGGAATCCTCAGTGCTTGGTCCACTTCAAATCGATCCCGATGTTCCACGAACACGGATGCGAAACTCGTGGGCCCCAGGTACTCGGCTGAGCTTTCGAGTATTGGCGTGGTTAACTGTGCTCCAGGGCAGGTCTTCGTGCTGGGGGACCCATCGCTCTCATTGCTCAAGGCAGTCGGCGACTCAGCCTCAGTCAGGTTTCTTGCTCTGCCTTTAGTGAGGGGATTGGCGAGATAGACACATTTCAAGGACAATCGCCGACACCGCTGGCAAGCGGGGGTTCCGTGGTCGCAGGCCAGTTTGCGCCGGCGACATGCCTCACAGGCAGGCTCTCGGCCATTCTTTCTCATGAGAGCGGGCATGGAATAGATCGGAGTAGCCGTTACTCCCAGAAAAGAAGAAACACATCGTTACTTGCGATGGTGTTGTCAGATGTAGATAGTAGATGGCTGATGTGGATGCTGGAAACGGAATCGGCTTCGGCTTCGGCATGGATCGGACTCAAAAAGTGGGGCGGTTCCAGAAGAAAAAGAGCAAAAAAGAATGACCAGACTGGGGCTCGATCCCAGGACCTTATCGGTGTTAACGATACGTGATAACCAACTACACCATCCGGCCATTGCTTGAGAAACATGTAAGTTGCTGGCTTTATGTCTGGCTTTCTACTATCTATACAACGGTCGCTAAAAAAGCTCCTGGAATCGAGCTCGAGGCTTATATACAGTTATGATTCGCCATTCACCACGCCCGATCTTATCCTCGCATATCAAAAGGAAGAGCATACTTTGGATGAGAACAAATCGATAATACGTACTCGTTATGGGCTGGTCTTTAGTATTTCTATCTGCTCGATGTGACGGATATACATATATTGTCGTCCGTCATCATCATGGTACTAGTATTGAAAATAAGAATGTAGATTATCAAAGTTTCATTGTATTCTAGTTCTGCATTGGGTACTTTTCGGTCTCAAGATATATCCGAACATTCGTCTATTCATGACGGACGGCTATCTCAAGCCTGTAAATCGGTCATATATCATCAAGAACATGGCATAAGGCGTGTCATCATCAACATCCCCGAGGTCTAGTTATCGTCATGCTTCAACTCGACCGTAATAATCAGGGACAGAATGAAGGTCGTCAAAATGATCTACTTATGTTAGTAATATCCCCCGACATAAATGCAGCGAGTCACAACTCACCAACCCAATCAAAACCCCAATACAGTTCAGCTCCCACCCCCCCGCATACACCGTCCCCAGAGCCACCACATTCTGCTGCTTCCAGAAGCGATACGCGCCCATGGCAGCTATCAGAATTGCCACGCTATAACA